TCTAATTCGTAAAGAAGTTCACAGAGAAATTCACAGATAGCGTCGCGAGTATCTGGCGTTAATCGACGTCCCTTATCAATGTTGTTCCTGCAGAAAAAATCGAGCATACTCGATAGAGCCAAATTTGTACGAATGAAGTATATAATAAGAACCTACAGCAATCCATTCAACTCTGAACCCAAGGCGATAATCGAATTCGTCAACGACACCCCATTCGCAGTAATTACACTGATTCCACGCAACTGTGGCCTGATTCAGTTTTCCTGGAAGGATGTCGCGCCATATCTAAATCAAATAGAGATGCATGCAACCAGAAAGATACTCTAGGTACTCTGCAAACTGCTGCTGGTCCTAATTTAGTGCTTTAGTTGCTTAGAAACTTGTAGTAACCAAGCACATGGTTCCAAAGGAGAAGTTTCCATTTCAACAAGAGTCATGCATTCGTTTTTATATGGGTCTAAAGAAGATGATTCCACTTTCACATAAGTTTCATGCATTTGTCCTCGGCGCATTCACTTAAGAAGGATAAACCCTTTGACTACGAAGGGCGTGTACATCCGTCCTTGAAAATTAGGCTCAGACTATATTCGTCTATGAAAAGTCAATCACTGCGAAATAGTAATAATATCCTTAGATATAACAATAATCTGGGCAATCTTCAATTATCATATGAAAGACTATATAACTATATATTGTATAAAGTTCAAAGAGGGGTAATGGAATTGGAATAACTCTTCACTTCAGGAAACTAGATTGATATCATGTAGATTCCTCCAAACCATGAAATAGAAAGGAATCAATTATTGGATATTTCCGAGGATTTCCTGGAAATCAGATGCTTCGTTCCTGCCCACGAATCTTTTCCAATTCTCACAAAAGAGTAATGTGGTTAAATGTGGAAAAAAACTTGGATCGTCGAAGCTCCACAGAAAGGAAAGTTCTACTTTTAGAACGTTCGTGAAACTTTGGTTCCATAATCGTAATCTACCAAGGAGCATGATTATCTGGGTCTACCAGTACAGAAGCAACATTGTAACTGTAATATTGTTATGATATTGCGGCCTTCTTCGCCAAGGTGCACATAATACAGAATAGTAAGTTTCGTTGAAGTCATACCATTATATACGCAAATATACGAATATTTGTCTTTTGGCAATTCATTATTTATTACGAAAATATAAGAGAAATTTTCATATTATCTTTTCGTCAGGGATGACGTCATAAACACCATTACACAAGCTACCACTTCGATAAATATATATTATTTCTCTCCTGTGACAGATATTAAAAACAAAATAATGGTTCTTGTTAGTGAATGGACGTGTAAATCGCAGCCGATCGATCATTATTGAGCGACACGTGAACACACAATACGGCACGAAACAGCAACCCGAAACAACTAGAACATGTAATGGGGAAGGAGGAGTATTGCGTAAGCTAATGGCAAAATAATATTATTTTCCGTGGGGAAATTTGAATCGTGAGATCAGGTACAGCAAAATCTCCGTTATGCGAACATCCTATTATGTGAATCGTATGTTTTCTGTTACAATATTGCATAAACGTAGTTAAAATACATGCGAAATTAAATTTGGGAGACTAATATCATGGTAGCTAATATTTGATTAAATGTAAAAAAATGAAAGGCTGATAAAAATATGGGAGAAACTTATAAAATTTAAGGGATATTGCTTGAATGTAACAAACGAAAGCTTGGAAGAAATTTCTGCTGTTTGAAATGGCAGAGGAAGAGGAATGGTGAGCTAAAATTAAACGGAAATGAGATAGATAAAGCTAGACTTATACAGAATAACAGAATGAAATAATCGTGATAAGCCTAGCATAATGGAGTGGCATTTGCTATAAATTGATATAATCGAGAACACTATTTCAACGAAGTTACTTAAATATTTATTAAAATTGAATGCTAAGCACTTTCGTCAAATACAATTTATTAGATTCCCAATTTGCATGTAAGAAAAACATTTATTTATACAATATTTCATTACAATAAGCCATTTCTTGTAACATCGATAAAATTACACACGCAACAGTCTTATCCGATAACTTTATCTGAATATAATCAATGAAATATTTGTTATCCACTGAATTTATTTTCTGAAGTACATAAATGTGAAGCAGTATTAATTTGTACTCTACATATAAAGTGAGCTACATTAAAATTGCATTTATTTCATTTACTTTTGTCTTTAACAGCAAGTAAAATCGAGTGCTGACCATTCATCGTACTACCATATGAAAATTCTCCTGTCTGCATATTTGCCCCCCCCCCCCCCAATTAGTTTACATAACATTCTACTGTAACTGTGCCAGAAGTCCAATTTGGAAGTATCAGTCTGTAAATTTAATACTGCAGAATCAAATGCTTTAATGTGTACATTTCCAACATCAATCGTTTGCGATGATTGGATTTAAAATCCATCATTTGCACCTGTTCCCGATTAATGCTGCGAAAACTGCCAATACGATGGTAACACATCGTTGGACTGATGTTTACGCGAATGCGTGTTTTGCATGCAAATACGCGAAGTATACTTAGCGGGAGACGAGGCTAAAAATTCCAGAGGCAAGTTGTCACAATGTTCTTTCAAAAAAAAAAAAAAAAAAGTCTCGCGTTGCAACACGTGCGATGGGTGACATATACGATGCTCGAAGTTCGAACATATTCTATTTTGCACGTGACATCGCGTGAGATATTGTTTTTGTTTCAAAACAGATTGTAATAACTTGAGTCTGTAATAACTAGCCTCACCTTTCCCTGTTTGTATACGGAGTTATACTACGTGCAAGTATGCATAATACATACACGCATATAGAAAATAAACGCAAGTATAGTAGGTGTTTGTAAACTGTGCAAGTTTCGTCGTCATTATTCAAAGTCATTAGTCTGACGTCTATCGTCATTTTTAACCGACTTCGAAAAGGAGGAGGTTACTCAATTCGACATGTATATTTATTTTCTTTTTATTCCGTCTAATAAATTGTTATGGGAAAATTGATACGGAATGAAGTAATATGGAAAATGCAGGCATGTGTAAAAGATGTATGTAAAATATGGAAAAGTGTGTATATTGCTGGAAATGTTTAGTATTGTTGGGAGACATAGTGGCTTCGTATGCTAACTGTTGCGATAAATTTTAGATATTATAATTTTAAATATTATAAATCTTGGCGCCCTAGGTAAAACGCTTTAAATTTGCCTGGCAGCGAATGGGTTAAATACAATGTTGAGGACGGTAAGGTCCAAAACTTATCAAACTTCAAAAGTGAAACCTAATTGGATAACAAACTTTAATAGCTTAATGGGAATATTTCAACGTGCCTACTCAGAATTCCTCTAATTTGCCACTAATTACCACGTATTTGAAGCGACGTTAAATTCACATTTACAAAGAAAAAACACTATAAAGAAACAGAAAAAAAGGAAAGGGGTAGGTGTTAGAGAAGATTTGCTTAGTTCTGTAAGTGATGCTCAAGTTCATTGAACTGAAAGTGACGAAACTTTGGAAGACCTACAAACACGAATGTTTATATAGGAAGATGATGAGAAACTTAAAGGTAAACAAAAAGTGGGAGATTATGTTTTGATCGAGTCTTATGAAAGAAAAACCAAAGTGCATTACACTGAAAAAGTGAGAAAATATGACACTATAGAATGAGATGACGCAGTAGTATCGCTTCTGGCCAAAAGAACTATGAGGTTTCTTTGCGTGACCGCTATTAGGTGTTGTGGATTGGGTGATCGAAAAATAAACGGTTTTCAGAAACTTCCTTCGTGAAAATGGAAAGGAATATTAAAACAGATCCAATTGCATTACATTAAGTAATGGCATAATCACTAGTTTATATTTCTTTCTTTGGAAATATCATTTAAATAAATATTGAAATATCGGTTTTAACTACATATAGTTTATATTTTGTAATATCACAATTACAATCACAATGTGATTCTTTTGTAAAAGTTCTTTCTGAAATCTCACTTTCAAAATAATTGTTAGCAACAAAGGGAAGTCCTCTACGAGTTATCTATATTTACAAAATACTGAATCAACCGATGCGACCATTTGTCCTTGGCACAGTAATTCACCGTAATTGTGCGGGAAAACGTGAGACGGGTGATATCTCACAATCAGTCTTTCGAAGAAACGTATAATTGTTGGTCGTATACCATTTGTATTCACTAGTTTTGTCTCACAGCGGTACGGCTGTTGGTAAGGCTTCATTTGTTTTACGCAGAATACACGAAAGTCATGCAATACCAAACGGAATTAATCCCTAGGAATGCTCATTAATGTCGATGCGTGTCAATTTCCAATCATTCTGGCTTGGTATCGAGCAGAGATTAAAATCAGTTGGTGTTTCGTATTAATTAAGTGGCATTGTTGACATTTCTTGTAGTATTGATTTAATTTGAACGTCAAGTATAATTGGATCTTAAGAAGCCTATTAGATAAACTGCAATCAGTCTTGAAACATTAATTCAGAATAAGGAAATGCTTCCTCCATTTATTTGTCAATTAGCAATGTATATTTCTGCAGGTGTTCTTATTGATCAAAAAAGGAAGTCGAGTTGGTGATGAAATACTGTGGTGAACTACTTTTTTGATAATTACTAAAACGATAAAATGATTTAATGGAAATATACCATAGACGTGTACTTTTAAAATAAATAATTTCCTAGTTATCGTGGAATGTGCTTATTTTCCGTTGGAAAATTCAGCTCTCTGTACTTTAAAGAATTTTCAAAATAAATTTAGTTCCTTTAGATCTTTTATTGAAATACAAATTATGAGGGTAATATTTGTGTAGGCCTACGTACAGAAACAAGTCACTCAAAGAAAGTCTACATACAAATGGTAACAAATATTTTCGGAAAGCTAGAGCTGCATCGCGTTACTCTGCCATTCCAGTCTATACAATAAACTTTCTGTTTCTTTGAGAAATTCCTCTAAGGCACATTCTTCTCTCTGCGATCCGATCGAGTCTTGTTTGTACTGTTTAGGTGGTGGCGTTCCTCTCTCCCCGACTATTGTCTGATAATGTTCGTTGAATATTTCACACTGCTGCTCAATAACAATATTCAAAGTTTGCGTTACTTTTACCGTCGAACAATAGGCTTCGTTCAAAATATTAGCGATGAAAGAAGCAGTGATTTCTACTGGTTAGAAGCCACAATTCAAATCTTTTAGAAACAAAAGTGATCCTGTCTAGTTGAAACTCTCATTTGGATTCTATATGTCTCTGTATAAACATCTCATCAAAAGATCTTTTCTAGAAATATTGGCAATATTGGCAAACTTTGTATATTTAGCTGAAATACGGGGAGTTAATTATACAGTCAGTGATGTCTAAGTGTCTCTCTGTAGGAACTGTGGAGCGACACGTATGAACAAAGGATGCGAAATTCCTAGATCTACGTTTACACAGTGCTATTTCATTAATAATAATGAAGATAGTCTTTCGATTTCGCCTTAATTGAATATATTTTGAATCGAAATTTCAAAATGTTATAAAGCAAAATAAGCACGAATAAAGACAGGACCCCGAAGATACAGAAGTAATCTATTCACCCCATTGTACCAAATCTTCCCTTACCAAAAAACACCTTACATCTCAACGATACGCCTAACAATTAAAAGCATTAATTATAATCATGCCTTCGCGACAATTCACCTGTACGAGCCACCGCGTGCCACTCATCCCTCGCCCTGGCTACAGTCCTTCACCCGTTGCTCGGCACAATAATGACAAGTGCTGGGGGTGAACCCTCGATGGTACGCAACGCGTATCGGCGGAATATCCAATAAACCAGGATGAACAACCGCGCGTCCGTAGGCAACACGGGGCTCAAAGAGGCTGGAAATAGCGGCGGCGTCCAGGGAAGAAATCTTGCCGGTGGTTGGATATAATCGGTACACACGAACCGCGATCGGGGGCGGCACGTACGATTACCTCGCCGGGATCGGCACTGGCACGGTTAGCCGAGCTTCGAAGTCCTCTCTCTCTCCGTCATCTTGAGTCCTTCGAGCGTGAACGGAAATACCCATCGGCGTGTACCGGAAGCTCACGGCAAAGTCCTCCACCCCTTTGCCCTCCGTTTTAGAAAAGGGATCCCTGTAGCGATTTCTGCGGTAGCGTGACAAGAGTAGCCAACACCGCGGAAAGAGGAGGAGGGGAGTAGGGTAAAAAAAAAGAAACGCGACGAGGGCAGGGGTTGGGAAAGGCCTGTGGAACGCGAAGGGATGGAAGAGGATGGCAGATAAAAGGGTAGGAAGAGAAACCGGTCGGTCTAAGGGGGGTGGGTTCGATTCGCTGGTGGCAGAACCGGAGAGGAGAACAGTGTGGTCGGAGGAGAGGGGTGACATTATATTTGCGCAGAGCTGCCCGATAGGGCGCAGTATCGTCGCGACCGCCGTCGCGTGCACGTCGATTTTTCGTGCTTTTACTACGTGTTTAGACCCGCGAGTGCGTCTGCACCGAGAACGTCGCTTTCACTCCTCGTTGGTCGTACCTTGGCCAGCTTACTCTACTAGTTCTCTCGTTCTTTCCCTCTCTCGTCTACTCTCTCTTTCTCTCTGTTTACCCGCCTCTGTTCGTCTATATCTGTACTCTTTTTTTTTTCACGGTGTCACCAAGCGTTTCCAACGTTTATACCATCCCCGGATTCCCGATTTTCTACCGTGCTCCGTTTCGCATAACTACGTGTCTCGCGATCCGTGTTTATCGCGAATAACGAAAACAAAACAAAAAAAAAAAAAAAACAACAACACGGAGGAGTCCGCGAAGTGTCGACGGCCCGAAGAGTGAGTAGAATAGTGTTGTTTTGCGTGATCGTTGGTGTGGTTTCGTTCCTGCTTGCACTGCCTTGCGCGAAGGATCTTCGTTTTCTACCCTTTAAATTCTCGCACCACTTGCATGGCCCACTCCCACGAGCCTCCCCTCCGATCGAGTGACTTTCGATTTTCACGCAACGCGACGCGATCTCTCGCGCTATTTGGATGGATAACGCCGTGACTGGATCGACCTGGCCTACGAATGATTGCCGGTAATTGCCGTGGGATTGTCAGGTTCTCGTTGGATCTCGAGTATCGAGCGTTTCGACGGAGTAACAAGATCGGTGGACTGAATGCACTCGTTTCGCCACCGACGCCGTGATAATAGAGGGTGAATCACCGTCCGAGCAAATGCTAGGACCTTTACCGAATGCGCAATATTAGTTGACATTCTCGCGTTGCGTGAAAAGTCACCGGAATAGAGACCAAAACTGATTTCGGAGCGCGGAGCCGCCGATGGGACAGAACCAGGTATGCAATCTTGCGATCCGCCTATATGTTGTATCGTGCACCTTTTCTTTTTTTGCTGTACTCTGGGATGGGGATTGCCCTTCGAATGTAATTTGCTTTTGAAGGATAATCTGGTTGATAGGAGAACGTATAGGAGGTAGTTGGATTTAATGGACCTAAACAAACTTCTGAAAGGACGAATTTATGATTCATGTTCATGCATTACGATTCTTGCTAAAGAATACACGATTGAACGTGTTTATTAGAAATTTTCCAATGTTCGTGCTTTGACGTTATAATTCTGAGAATATAGTTATCCTGTCGGTAGGATATGTAACCTCGCGAATTGGCATAACAATAATATTGAATTCTTTGATGGATCCATTACCTCTCGTCAATCTACACCGCAAAAGATTATGTCAGTAGACCAGAATTTCGTTTGAAGGATAATTCGGCCGATAGGAAAACAGTAGTTGATCTAACGAACCTGAACAAACTTCTGAAAGGACAAATTTCCAACCCACATCGGCTAACTAAAATATGTTTGAACGTGTTTATTAGACAGGTTAGAAATTTTCCGATTGTCCACGCCTCGACGTTATAATTCAACGATAGAGCATAGTGATTCTATCAGCAACAATATTGACTTCTTTGATGGATCTATTACCTCTTACCAATCTACTCCGGGTAAGATCATGTTAATAGACTCGAGGAAATTACAGCTATCGTGCAAACGAGTAGTGGTATATGTATTGTACCACTTGTAACAGCTTTGTAACTTTACATCCCCTATTAGTTACTCGAGTTTGTAGCAACAAATTATTTTCCCCTACCCATTAATTCGTGAAAGCAATAGGAATGATATTAAATTGAGATTTTCTATTAACGAATGAATTGTTTATTTCTATGGCGTGGTTTTAAACACAAAATTTTGTTTGACTAGAACAATAGAACACAAATAATAAGACACAAATTAAAATACAAAATGTACATATTTTTGAACGCACGTGATTTGAAAAGTTATGCTCCTTTTATTTGGCGATGGTGAGAATAGTATTTATTGAGAATTATTGTACTATAGAACAGCTAGCTTTAGTTTTACTTTAATTATTTCTTAAAGTATATTAAAGCTTAAAGGGTGTTTCGAAGAAGTAGGTCGAAATATCACCTGGTCGCGTGAACAAACAATTCATCCATTAATACATCTTCATTTATTATTCCAATTGCTTCAATACATCAACGAAGAGAGAAAAATAGCTTTCTACGAAAATTACGTTGGATTCAATTTTAGAATTGTTTTAAGAGTTAATAACTTTTTAGCGACAATATGTTAAACATATTCAACCAACATATTCCCTCGTTGGAAAATATTTTTAATGTTTCTTTTATTTATTCATACTTGTTTCTTTCATGAAATGATGTTTTGTTTCTTTTATTCGGAATTACTACATAATCGATCATTGCTCTCAATTCGATTAAATTCATTATCGAATATTCTTGGTATTTCGATTGCCTTGCATACAGATTATCCCAGATTACACAAATTTGTCACGAACAATTTTCACATTTTATAGAGTATTTAAAATCGAACAAGTGTATCATTCTCAGAAACTCCTTTAAAATGATTGCATTAGGAGTTTAGCGTGCGCTTTGAAAGGAATGAAAGGTAAAGAATATGGTGGTTATAGCTTCTATGAAAAATTGTTCAGAAATAAGCTGATAAAGATAAGTTGTGGCATTGCGAGTGTGGTATATGCCTACATAGAAGGAATTCGATTTCCGCGTTATTGTGATGCCATTGTGCATGAGCTATCTCTTTATCCAACTTTGAGTCCATTCTACCATTGTCCAATTCTGTACTTGACAATATGAACCGTAACAGTCAGTCAGTGCGAAAATACGTTTTTGCCGTAACACTTAAATCGTATGACCCATTAACGGAGAAGCAATGAAATGCTAATGAAGTTCTTGGAGCAATTTTCATCGTTTTTATTGGTTACTCGTTGCTTTCAAATGAAATTAAAGATACTGTCGGTATTTAGTTCGATCATGGTTTTCGTGCTTGTTCTAAAAAAAAAGAAACAAAAATAATAAAATAATTTGTAATTAATTTACAAATTGGTAGGAAAATGTATAGGAAATGTTTTAACTGTAATCAATCTCGCATGATGTCACAAACAATTTGTGTATTTACTTTAATTAGATGAAAGTGGATATATATAGTAGATTAAAAAATAAAATTTTGGAAAAGGAATAATAATTAATAGTGGTATTAAATAAATAAACTGCAAATTATATTAATTCTGTCTGTTGATTTAATCTGCAGTAATAAGAATATTTACATACAGTTTAATTGAAAAATTTATTTACTGTCAGTTAACGGTGAATACGTTTGCGCATTGGTTTAATAAACAACGGATAAAAAGTTTTATTTCAAAAATATGAAACAATTTAAATTCAATTAAAAATTCATAAGCGTTTTCAGTACAGTTTATTGGAAAACTGATTTTTAAATTAATTAAATTAATAGTAATTTAATTCTAGCCACTCAAAGTACGTAAGCACAAAAATTTGAAGACTATTTAATGCAAACATTGAAAATTCTGTTGAAAAGTTAGATATGTTAGGCATTAACATTATCCTTTTAATATTTAATATACATTAAGCAACGGATAGTAGTAATGTTATCAAGGGCAACTGCTCATGTCCTTGTAATTTTGAATCTATTTTAGTGATCACCGAACGTTTCACGGTGCGAAAATCGTTAAGCTGCTTTAGCTCGCCTGACACCATCCCGTTTTCTTTCACTTGAACAAATTTACACGCATAATGAATTCCCATAAAATATTATATTAAATGGCGCGAAAATATGTAGTATGAATTACAGAATGTGGAAGCTCGTAAAAACTCGTGAAGTGCAATTATCATATAAAGGGGCTCATGTTTCGCAATTGAACACGCTTAAAATCACGTTAGCGTAATGAAAATATTACCTTTTCATGAAACTTACCGCAGTTTACAAATAACGCTAACGTAAGAACGAGAAAAATAATATTGCGATAGCTTTTGATATTCTGTATAACGTTAAAGTTATATTTATAGTAAATCAAGTGATTGTTAATAGTACTTACTGCAATTATTTTAGGCAGAGTAAATAATGTTAAAGCACCAGAAGTAATTTTTTGTTAAATACAAGGAAAAACTCATGTAGAAAATCTTTTTAAACATTCCTTTAACGTGGCCATATTCATACATTCGTTTTTCGAATTTAATTTATAATACACATAAAAACAATTCAACGCTTTAACGAATTTGATCATTCCGGTCTAACTAAGAGTACCAGTTTACTTCTTAATTAAAAATAAAGCTTACTTTGACCTTATTTTCATACCATTGTATCCATGGACGCATAGAGAACACGTTTGTAATTCCGTTAATAACACTTCCCCAAGGAAGGAATTATGGGCTGGTAACACGCAATACTTTTACCAAGAAAGCCATTCGAAACAGAGGTATTAGTGAATTAGAAGCGTTTTCAGAAAGTACTTGGGACCGATGATATTTTAATTCATTTCAAATTCGTGACAGTTCGTAAGAGTAAAAAGGTATTCTTTTTTTCTGAGTATCTTTTATTCCTATAATCAATGTTCCTGCGCTGAATTAAGTAAATTAATTTTGAGTACATTTCGACGAGGGAACAGTATTTTAACGGCACGGAGGCTGATTAGCTTTGTTTGTAATACGATAAATGCGGATTTATAAATTTCCTTTCATGCCACAGATTTATTAAAAATCGGTCGAGCTCGTTTGCAAGCGGTCGAGCAGTATTTATTACGTTGGAAAATTATTTAAAATACCCGGAAGCGAAAATTTCGCCTGCGGGTTCGATATCTTTTTTTCAACTTATCCGCATAGAATAATTATTTGCTCAAAGTTAGCTAAATTACTCTAAAGAGGTTAGAAGAAAAAAATCTTTTTTTTTTCATAATATGGTAATAGCCTCACTGTCAGTCAAACGCCAAATTTTTTTTCAACTTTGTTAACTCGTACGTAGCGGGGAGCCACAAGAAAACGAATTAATTAAAACTGCCGATATCTGGACGCATAGAAATTCATTTTGTAGCTCATTTATAATAGCTGTGTTGGTTATTTAAAACCAATACGTCGATTCACAAATCACGCCATTAATGCTATCGGCAATTTACAACTGTTTAACGACGACTAACGACTTATTGAGTTAAAGATTTTTTTAATTAATAGAGACGGAAGTACGTTGAAAATGAGAATGATTTGATTTTTTATGAAATATCACAAGGTTTGAATAAATATTGCGTAAAATTATAAATGGCAGTATTGTGATAAATCAAAACGTTTGTACAAAAAGGTGATCATATTTGTGTCGGTGCGATTTATAACAATTTTTATTCAAACCTAGTGAGAATTTGTTAAAAACTGAATTTTTATCAAATGTGATATCGTTTTATTATTTATTTTTGAATAGGTAATAAAATATTTTCTAA